CAATTTGAAAAGGCATTTAATTGAAGGAATATACTCACCATTGATAGGGATGCGGTGGCTCAGTGGCTAAGGTGCTGAGCTTGTCGATCCGAAGGTCGGCAGTTCAGCAGTTTGAATCCCTAGTGCTGTGTAATGGAGTGAGCTCCCGTTACTTGTCCCAGCTTCTGCCAACCTAGCTGTTCGAAAGCATGTAAAAATGCAAGTAGAAAAATAGGAGCCACCTTTGGGTGAAAGGTAACAGTGTTCCATATGCCTTCAGCGTTTCGTCATGACCACGGAGACGTCTTCGGACAGCGCTGGCTCTTTGGCTTTGAAATGGAGATGAGCACCGCTATCACATATGTGCGAGGGGAACCTTTACCTTTTACTATGCCTACATGAAGCTATTCTAGAAACTAGTTTGGCGTTGCCAGTGTAGTATATAGATGCATCGTATTTTTATTTATGTCCTGGAGATGTCTGTGGAAGGATGGAAAATAGAAAATAATGCATAAAGTTGCCTCATCCTGAGCCTTTTGTTCATGTAGAATCTAAGCTATGGCTTGGGTAGCCATAATTTCACAAAAGATCCACAATTGGCTAGGTACGCTTAATATACAGTATAAGACGCAACAAGATTTTGAAGAGGCAAATTAAAAAACAAAGTTTTTACACTGCAGACCTCCCGAAATCGGGGCCGTTTTTTGTCATAGCCTTATGGAGGCTTATTGAGTGCTCCTGGGGGCTGGGGAGGGCAAAGAACAGCCTGTTTTCGCTCATTTTTGCCCTCCCCAGCCCCCAGGAGCACTCTGGAAGCCTCCTAAAGGCTATGCATGGCCATTTTTGCGAAGGGGGTGGGGTTTCGGGAGGCCAAGAATGCTGTATTCAGTGTATAAGACACACCCAGATTTTCAGCCTCTTTTTTGAGGAAAAAAGATGCGTCTTATACTCTGAAAAATACAGTAGTTTACAGTTAACTCATAAAAAGATCCAATAAACGGGATGCTGTTTACTAAGCTAGAGAATTAAATTTAATAAGGGTGGGCTTTTGGTTTCCTGCTCGGTGGCTTGTAGTTGATCACCGTAGCAAATTACAATGGCCACACGTGTGATCTCTTACTTTCTTGGATAAATGAAGGACAAGCTAATTACATTCTAAATAAAGCCTCCCTAATCGGAGGAGATTTTTTTAAAAATAAAGAGTGCCTGTAGGTCATTAATTAAAATACATATTTAATTATATAAAGCACATACATTTAATAAATAAACCAGTAAGCACAAGTTTACTTTCAATTACTGTTGTTTTGTTCCTACTTATAGATGCTGGCTAATATTTCGAAGTTGTGGAGTATCTATAAACCTGCAAAGGAATATCATCCTCTCGTGGTTTCTGTGATCTTAACAGGATACCTTTTTTACAAAATTGAATTTGGAGGTAAAGTTTATATGTGTGTATTCTGGAACTCTAGTTACGTATGCAGTTTTAGATTTATTGATTAGATCTTTATCCCACATTTATTACTTTATAAATAACTCAAGGTGATGAAAACACCTAATACTCCTTCCTTTTCCCACCAACAACAATCCTGTAATGTGGGTAAGGCTGAGAGAGAGTGACTGACCCAAGGTCATCTAGCTGGCTTTCATGCCTAAGGCATGAGTCAAGCTCACTGTGTCGTGGTTTCTAGGCCAGCACCTTAACTGCTACACTAAACTGTGTGCAGTCATTCATGCCCTGGTCATCTCTTATTTGGATTACAGCAACACTATGTGGGGCATCCTTGAAGACTATTAAGAAGCTACAACTACTACAGAACATAGTTGCGCAGATAGTTCTGAAGACCCCTTGGATGGTACATTTAACACTGCTGTTGTGCGAGCTGCATTAGTTGCCAATTTGCTTTCAAATTTAATTCAAGGTGTTGGTTGTCACTTTTAAAGCCCTGCACAGCATGGGTGCAGGGTATCTGTGGAATTATCTCACTGTACTAGGATTAGCCCATCCCATTCACTCCAGCAGAAGAAGCCTACTTCAGATCCCATCTGCCAAAGAATTTCACCTGGCTTGGCCTAGGAGAAGAGCCTTTCCTGCTGTGGCTCCTCCCTTTGAAATATAATCCCATTGGAGGTGAAGTTGCCCCCACTTTCCTGGCCTTCCAGAAGAACCTTAAAACCTGGCTCTGCCAGCTGACTTGGGGCAATAGAGGCGTTCTATGCTGGGGTGGCTCACAGGGTAGAGAAAAAATCCCCATCCCCTGTCACCTGTCCTCTTGGTTTTCAGTCTTTATTTAATCTTTCCTAATTTTTAATAGTTTTGTATTTTTTATTATGCTTTAAGCTGCCCAGAGTTGCTGTAACAGTGAGAGGGATGACATATAAATTTAATTAATAAACTGGCTCTTCTTTCCCTTTTCTTCATTTGGGATAGAAGACAAATAAAGTTATGATGCTCAGCTATTGAGTGACTTTTGGCATCCATACAATTTTTATTTAGCTGAATGTAAATAATTAATATACTACAAACTGATGATATTAATGGAATTATTATTATGGAGAAGCTTCAAGGGAATTTTTAAAAAAATGATCTGTAGCCTGACTGTTCCCAAATTTGGGTTGAGGCTCATTGTCTTAATTTTGATTGCATCCAAATAACTTAAGTACAATAAAAGATTATGCATTCCAATTGTTTTATGGTATATTTTAGTTGACTTAAAATAGATCAAATTTTATTATACATGATTACTGTATCTTCCCAGTTTGCCTTGTATTATATTCATTGTATATAGATATTTATTATATAACTGAAGCAATTTAAGTATGCTGTTTAAGATCAGTCAAGGAATTACTTTTTCTATTATATAAAATTAACCAACAAAATATATGTGATGATATGACATTAAGCTTTTTCTGATCCTTTCATTAAAAAATTCAGATGTTGGCAGTCTTTACACCTATCTGCTGCTTCAAAAATGCATAAGTTTCAAGAACAACATCTTCAGCCCTAATTCAAAGATTTATGTGGATTTTAGCACAAAAATATAATAAGAGCAGAGCAAGACAAAGCCATGTGAATTAACATTCCAACTCCTGAATTGCATTGTTAATACTGTTTTATGGTGATTGCAACCAATCTTTAATAAAACGTTACCTGAAGCATTCAAACAAAAAGAAATACAAAAGGATATCAAACTTGCTCCAAATTTTGCAAAAACTATATCAATAATCTTATTTCTTCAAATTTATAAAATTGGGTTACTGGTTTTGGACCTAATATATATTCTTCAGCAACAGTCAAAATGTCTAAAAATACATTGTTAAATTGAATAAATAATTCAAAATATCATTGAAAGGTAATCCAAACTTTCAGTGACATTCCTTGATATAGATTTTTAATTGTGTTTAATATTCCTATTGACAAACTCTGTATGGCAGCTCTCTCCCCAACATGGTGCTATATAGGCTTATCTGGTATTTATCATAAAGTGTGAATTAAAATAATTAAGATTTTTTATCCATGACTACAAAATTTCTAGTATTAATCAAATTTACAGGGGTTTTTTGTAATTATATTTGCCTTGACTATTTGGATTCTCTTAAACATTTTTATTGGACTATAGCTTTGTCCTGATATGATCTATGTCTCCAAATATATTAGGAACTATTGTTTGGTCTTTTGATAATGAAATTCTTTTATCCTTAGGTGAACATTCAGCAGAAAGAAGAGCAGCGGAAAAAAAGAGGAGGAGTAAGTGCTAACATAATTAGAAATGTATATAGATCTGTCATAATTACATAGTTCATTAATTAAGATCTTAATGTAGAGCTTGACAGTGATTTTGTATTTGTCATTAGTACAAAATGTGTACATAAAGCTCTGTAAGTAACGATTCTTCTTCTGAATCTCTGATTTTCTTAATATGTATATCCATTAAATAAGATACAGATTTTATTTGGCATGTATCTAGGCTAGCTGGGCTCCTTCTTTACTCATGGTGGAAATTAAAATAGTGTGATATATGGAAAAGTAAGGAGTACGGTACTCTAAAAATTGTCATTGATTTTTATGATTGTATCCCTTTCCTCTATTTTTCCCAATAAAAAACTCCCTTTTTATGACCCTGTAATCCCTTAATTCAGAGTATAATTCGGGTGACTGGATGAAGTTGAGTCTTTACTGACCAGATGCCCTTCCTATGCCTCTACTTAACCCATTAAATTGGATTATCCAAACCAGTTTATTTGTTAAATTTATATGCTATCCATTTCATTATGCAAAGCAACTCTTAATAAAATATTCAGGGGATGAGTCAATCTAGTCAATTTGTTAAACTGAGTGAAACAGATGTTATAACAAGGAGAAGCAACTTTTATAGGTTTAAAATCTGGATGCAGTCCATTTGGTATTAAATTACGCTAGTCACTGTCTTCTCTGTATAGCATTTTAAACTCTTATTCATAATCATATGTTTTTCAACTTTTGTGGCGGGGTTGCAAATAGCACTATTTTTTAATATACATTATTTTATTCATAATTAATTTAAAATTATTTAAATTAATTAAACTACCATGTTTCCCTGAAAATAAGACAGGGTTTTATTTTCTGTTTACACACAAAATATGGCTTGGGCCTTATTATGAGGAGAGGGTTTATTGTTTTGGGGTTGCCGGGCGGCTGCTCTCTTACGAGCGGGCTCCCAAAGAGCCGGGCACAGCCTCATGTGCGAATGGCTGTGTTGCGCTGTCGCAGCAGCGCAACACAACAGCCATGAAGTGACCCACTCATGAGCAGCCACCCAGCAAACCCCCTTTCCAGCCAGGCACAGCGCCATTCACTGACCTGAGGGTATCGCCAAGCCCCGTGAGCGCCTTTTCGCCACCACCTGGCTCCTGCTGCTTGGCGCCTTTGAAATGGCAGTGAATGATGCTCTGCACGGCTGGAGGGGAGGTTGCGCGAGCGGCTGTTCTGCTCTCGCTCACGCGCCTGCCAGCCTCACGATGCCCTGGCCCAGCTCTCTCCACAGAGCCAGGGCACCTCTGCTGCCGCAGCCGCTTAGCTTTTTCTGCAGCTTCCAAACTGAGTCTTCCGGCAGTGGCCGCTCTGGGCGTATGCTCTATGGTTGTGGGCCAGCTGCCGGCAGAGCGTACAGAGTGGCCGGAGGTGGGGGGGTTGTTCAGGGGGCTTATTTGCAGGGGAGGGCTTATATTTTTGCCCACCAGAAAAATGTAGCCTGGCCTTATTATCAGGACATATCGTAATTTTGGGGAAACACGGTATTATCTTTCACAACATAGATACATGAAAGAATCTATCTACAATTCTAGCTGTTGCTTTAGGCTGGTGTTCACATTCTTGTGTTGTAAGCAGTCATGACAATTCCATGCTAGAAAAAGCAAATCTATTACTTGGCTGAGTCCTGTTAAAACTGCCACTGGATAATAGAAGGACTGATTATAATTATACAGTTATCGTGTCCTTCATATGCTGGTTCTGACAGCTATGTATTAATGAAGGGAATGGATAATGTGCAAAAATGCTGTAGCTTGTAATTTTTACAAAATGAGACATATTGAACACAGTGTGATTGATTACCAAGTAAAAATGCATAGCATTATTCTATCTAGATTGTTGCATATTATGTGTTTGCATAAAATAACACTTAGTTTTGCATATCTATCCAGACTTGATCAGGCCCAATGATCAAGAGGAACAAACTTTGGAAAATTCATAGTTATATTTTCTGTATCAGAATAATTGATATATGTTATATGTTGTCATACTAAAGGTATCTAAAATAGTGAGCTAACTGTAACATCATATGAATGGGCTGATCTTCCTTCCCACTTCAATATCATATGTGTAATTTAGGTCTGCTATGAAAAGTCTACATGACACTCTGGAGCAGATTTGGGGAACAAAATTGAGAAATATTTGGTGCAATCTTTTGATGCGAAAACACAATTAGGTAGTGACCAGTGGAATATGTCATAGTACATCTGTTTCCTCAAAAATAAGACCTCCCCAGATAATAAGCCCAATCAGGCTTTTGAACGCATGCACTGAAATAAGCCCTTCCCCAAAAATAAACCCTCCCTGAAAATATCGCAACGCAGCAGCAACCATGAGGTGACCATGCTTGCCGCCTCCTACACCTCAAAAATAATAAGACCTCCCTGAAAATAAGGCCAAGCGCTTATTTCGGGGATTAAAAGAAAATAAGACCCTGTCTTATTTTCAGGGAAACACAGTATAATTGATTGGTTGCAGATTTTTTCCCCATGATTTTAAGTCATAATTTTCCAGTAAAGTATAAGTATTTTATTAAAAATGATTTATTGTTGATCTAATTAAGATTATGTTATTTCAGGAACCAGGCCTCACCATCATTAAAACTTGCAATCTTCAGTATGAATTTTTGAACTGTCATCCTAGTTGTCAACAAGCTGAGCTACATCATGGGAAACTAAGTGTTCTGTAAGCAGTGTGCATCATTAGCACAATGGTAATCTGCCATCTGTCATGGAGTGAATAAATGTGGTGTTCAAGAAGTGTGCTGAATATTTTATTAATTTATATTTCCTAGACATAATTGATATGTTTTACTTATTTATTTTCTTCACTACTTTTTTAATTGTCCAGGTCCCAAATTGGCATGCAGTACAACATAATGACATTATACAATACAATTATCTAAAATACAATACTATATTTAGCACTCCTAGGGTTCAGGTTCCAGGATACACTAAAGAAAACTTCAGAACATAGTATAGTAGATAAAACATGTTAAAGACAACAGGATCTAGAACAGTGTTTCTCAACCTTGACGACTTTTAAGTCCTGTGGACTTCAACTCCCAGAATCCCCCAGCCAGCACAGCTCAAACACTGATATAGAATAACATAAGACCATAATATCTAACCAACCAAAACCAGCCAAAATAAAGTAGTTTCTATTTAAAGAACCTAAGCAAAATGTTTGTCAACTGACACAGCTACAAAGTCAAGTCCCAAGAGAAAAAAGCTGAAGGCTTTTAGATAGTAGCAGTGGATTGGCTCTTTCTATCCTTTTGTCAAGTATTTTGTCAATAGACTATCAGATGTGCTAACCCTGGTACCTAAAACTGAATAGTGATGACAAGGATAAAATTACAAGGTTGCATGAACCTGAAGTGTAGGTGTGAGGAGAGATAAAACCTGAGGGGAATGTGAGAAATATAGACTGCTGAATGTACTGAAACATCAATTGCGTACTAGATTGTAGATAAAAACATGTATCGTGCATTCCCACAAGTTGGCATGGATCACAGTCACATACACAATCAGATACTGCCAGCTTTATTGGGAAAAAACCTTTTGGTATAAGAATGCATAATTTTCCTTTATAATTTCATGTCTTTCCATATCTCTTCTGAGATTCCAGCAGGCCGCTACCATCCTTGGTCCACCTAGAACAATCAGACAACAAATGAGGTAAAAAAACCAAAATGGCAGAAAGTATTCAGTAAAAATGTAATCAAGTGGTTTTTCTATTTTGTTACCTTAAAATTTATGATAATGAAGTTAGGCTGAGTTGGCTTTGCAAATAGAGAGTTGATCTTTACTTTTTATATATTTATTTATTAAATGGATTTTCAGCCCATCTCAACTACAAGGTTAAGATGTGTGGCATCCAGTTAATAGCACCAATTCTGAAGAAGCATATTTAATGGGTTTTGCATAATCACAATGTAAAGTGCACAATATCTAATTTATATTGTTAATTCACTTAGTAAATTTCACTTACATCCTCCAGTTAGCGCTTCTGCTATGAAAATAAGTGTCTAGGATGTAATCCTAGATCGTCCCTATGGAACGATCTACCCCCAGAGATCTGGACCCTCCCCACTCTCTCAGCCTTCCGAAAGTCTACTAAGACCTGGCTGTTCCGGCAGGCCTGGGGCTGTTGACCTCAGAAACGAGGTCCAGCCCCACTAAGCTTGAGTGCATGATGTGTTTTTTAATTCGTTCTCTCTCTATTTTAAATTTTTTAATATTTTTTTTTAGAATTGTTTTATGTAAGCCGCCCAGAGTCCTTCGGGTTTGGGCGGCATATAAATTTATTAAATCTTGAATCTTGAATCAACATTTGATTTTTGTACGTTTTGTTGAAATAGAATGAATTAGTTTTAAGAATATTCTTATATGGTTAAGTGTCCTTGACCTCTAAACCCTACATTTAATTTCACACCAGATACATTTTTGTTTGCCCTAAGGATATTTTTTTGTTTTGTTTTGTTCAGAGATAAATTCCTGTATTGTTCAGGTTATAAACCTGTTGTACAAATGCACTGTGAAAATCAAACCTAATAAGCACTGATGGTTCTAGTCTGTATTGTGGACTGAATATTGTATATAGTACTCTCAGCTATAAATACCATTCTGCCCCATGGCAGCTTGAATTGACTGTTCTTGGTCAGTTTTGTCAGTATTAATAGTGATATAAAACCACGAAACTGCCACTTGTTAATTTTGAATAATCATGCAAATTTTGTCAATATGCCCATTTCAATATGCCCATTCTTTTTTCCTGGAACACTCCAGATTTTGGCAAGGGGGGTGGCGGGGGTTTCAACTATAAGAAGCCACAGCCGAGCACTATGAGAAATTCAGCCTAGAGGGCACTGTGTAGTCATGAAAGTAAGATTCTGATCTTGTAAGCTTCTTTCAGATTTGGGCCTTTATGTTGATGTTTCCCCATGGCCATTGGATGGAAGATTCTGCATTTAGCTTTAAAAGAAGTGCAACAATATGCCTTCCTATAATGATTCCTACCTGCTGGATTTCTGGAGGGCCATATTCTCCCAGGCCTTGAGCTTGATTAGCTGAAGCCTCCCACAGGATGTTGGTAAATGTGCTACCTAGTAGATTCACGATCTTTCACTTCACTTCACTTAGATTTATATATGCTTTATGGTGCTTTTACAGCCCTCTCTAAGCAGTTTACAGAGTCAGCATCTTTCCCCCAACAATTGGGTCCTCATTTTACCAACTTCAGAAGGATGGAAGGCTGAGTCAACCTTGAGCCTGGTGAGATTTGAACTGCCAAATTGCAGGGAGGCAGCAGTTAGCAGAAGTAGCCTGCAGTACTGCACTCTAACCACTGTGCCACCATCTTGCTCTTTTTCTTCTTTTCTACTTTGATCTATTTTGATCAGTATCCTTACTGTATTATTTTTATTTTGTATATTGTGAGCAATCCCTTAGAAGTTAGATGGTGTCAAATCAAATAGAAAATGGGAAATCTTTTAAAAACAACGTTAGGAATACGTTTGTAAATTGGCTGCTATTTCAATACTATTGAGATAGTGTTTTGCTTTGCTGGGTTTTTATTATGCTTTCTGTAAATGAACAGAAGACATATAATAGGAAATAGTTGGCGGATGAATTATTTTAAATAGAAGTAGGACCCAAAATGGTGGGATAAGAAATGCAAATCACCCATAGATATTAGTAATACTTCAAAGGATGTGATTTTTTTTCCAATTTTAACATTGTATGCACATAGTATGTTAAGCAATACATACAATTAAGTATAAATAATCAACATCCCTTTCATACTCCCCAATTTTACCTGTAATTAAAATAAAATTTTGGCCAAAAAAGTTAAGACGGATAATGCAGAGTTTAAACTTTGCAGCTTCATCTGCTTGTATGTATTCTGGTAAATTTGAAATATAGACATCTTATGACTCAAGCAGATAGTTATATATAACAAATGCCTTCTGCTGGGTTTCTCTCTCTAAAATAAAATAAAAATCCAGAAATGCAAAGCACTATATTTTAGCAGTAGAAACTGTCAGGCAGATTATGCTGCCCATCCTGTTTATTTAACTAAAAGAAGAGCAGACAATCTCTTTAGAAAACTTCCAATCAGTACAATTCTACTGTATAATTCAACAGAAGAAGTTTAGATAAATTGAAGTAAATGGATGTTTCCTAAATTACACGTTTTTAAAACTAACCAGTCATATCCTCTTTGAGTATACAGGTAAATTGATGTTTTAAACAGTTGTGTGTTTAAGCCCAAACAAGCTAAAAATAGAAGACAAGGACAAAGTTTATGGAAATAAGGTTTCTGTGCCAATTTTGATTTGTTTTCCTTATTCACCTCATGCCAGGAATTTCAATAAGGTGATATCTGTTGGATTGATTATTAATTTATCTAAAGGGATGTCTTACAGTTTTGAGTTGTTCTTTGTATTTCTAAATCCCTCAGCAGGAAATTATTACTGTAGGTCATTTTTTACTTGTGTATTATCATTGGAAACTAATGCCCCTTGTAATATTTATGTACAAATATATATGTTCTGTCATTGAATACATAGCATAGACTTTTTTTCAAAAGTTCCCCATCCAACCTTTGTTTAGCTTTAGCTTTATAGCATCATCATGTCCCTCAGGTTCTGTTACGTATTACAATAGCTAGGCGTTTGGTTATCTTCACATGGATAACATAAACATGGTTTATTCAATGTAATTGGTTGTTGAGTAACAAGTCATTGCATACTTTCAGTTGCGGCCATGGATGTCTAAAATTGTTTCTATTTATATGTAGGCTAGGAATCATTCTGATTACAGTAGGGTGGAAATGTGTTTAATTTCTGGGTTCAGTGACACTGAACCATGATCTAACCACAAATCTGGGTTTGCAGAACAAGCTGGCTTACAATATAGGCAATTTGTGATCCAGTATCTTGTGTTACTTGATCTCAAGGTACATAATACAACCATTTGGTAAAAGCTAAGGAGACTTCAATGTAATCAGTAATCTTATGGAAGCTTATTTAACCCCCACATCATCTTGAATTTTGTAAGAGGAAAAACATGGATATAAATGATTTCCATATTTTATGATTTCTAATGTAGATTAAAATTTATGTATTTAGTACATTCAAGATGAAATTAACAGAATATTGTAATTAATTTCTTCCATCATGCAACTCAGGACAGTAAAGGTTAAGACTTCATTATTATAAAGTAAGATGTACTGTATTAGAATCTTCTGAACTTTTATAATTGCATTAAGAAAATTGTCTACATCCTAGGATCCCATTGCAATTGGAAGTGAAAAAAAACAGTTTTTGTTATTCATAAGTAATGAACTGCTGGAACACACAAATTACTATAACTATCAAGAATTATGTTCTAAAAGGCTCTTTTAGGTGGCTCATGATAGAAAATACAATGCAATGCTAGAACCTTGAATTAAGTCTGAAAATGATCCTCTTCAAATTACAAAATTCATTTTTATGCAAGCATTTAAGCTTAGATGCAGAACTTAATGGATGTAGTTAAAGTGCAGAAATAATAAATACAATAGGACAGTAAATATCAAAGACTAATAGATCAAGGAAAGATATAAGGAAGGATCACTAAGTGGAAACAAGAAATGGCAACAGATGCATTTTTTCCTAGGTTCCACAGCTGTTGAATATAAAGAGAATCTTACAGATACTTTTGGTACAAATCAGCTTTGAATTAAATGCCACTTTCTCCCATGAAATGTTTCTTTTTACTCCTGATGATCTTTCTCTGGGCTGCTGTGCACACTTCCAAACAAGCATTCCACATTTGCATTTTCTAAAAATGCTTATAGAGCCCTTTGATTGCCAGAGGCATTCTGTGAAAAAAAATGTTTATATTTTGCAGCTTCCCATTTAAAATTCATGCATATAAAATTCAAGAGCCTGGTAAATACCAGGTACTTTCTGAGATGATACCTTGGATGTCACATGATGGACCACATCTACTATAAACGCAATCCGTGTGCTTAATTAAAGCTTCTGGAGGTTGTGAATACCCGGTTAAATGAGCAAGTCATTGTCAAGCAATAGATGAGAGTAATGTTTCTCAACTTTAAGATGTGAGGATTTCAACTTCCAGAATTCCCCAGCCAGCAGTTTTTAAGTATTGAAATCCATATATCTTAAAAGTTGCCAAAGTTGAGAAACACTTGATTATTGTGCAAACAGCTGAGTTGGCATATGTATGAATACATTTAAAAATACAACGAGGTTAATAATAATTGATAAGCAGTACTAGGAAGGGTTGGGATGTCATCAGCCAGTCAGCATTAGGTATATGCAATTTCTGCCACAAAGAAGCTGAACAGGTTTTCCCCGAAGAAGAAGCAGAAGGTGAAACAAAGGCTACTTTAGAAGTATGGCTCAAACTTTCATAACTAATTAATATTCATAGGTTGGTGGAGAAAGGAGACAAGAACAAATTGACAGAAAGCTGTTATGATATCAAGGTTACATCTTACAACTGCCCAAAGATTCATTAGACTTCACACTTTAAAAAATCCAAGGACTTTTCTTTTTATTCTTTCCAATCTGGTAGAACTTGGATAGAAATCACACTAAACAGGTCGTGATTCTGCCCACCTGTCAGCACAATTACTCCTTGAATTGAATACAACAGGACTTGGTCTGGCAGAGGAAGATAGCAAAAGAAAGATTGAGTTTGAAAATCAGGCAAGATCTGGGGAGGAAAGCAAAAAACCCCAAAGCATCACAAAAGGAAAAATATATTATGGGTAGTATACATTTTAATCTTTCTTCTTTTTGGTTATGTAATGCAGAGCTGAGTGTATTTATTTTATTTATAGCCTGCCTTTATGATTTTTATAAACAGCTCAAGGCGGTGAACATATCTAATACTCCTTCCTTCTCCTTTGAGGTTGGTTGGGCTGAGAGAGAGAGTACCGGTATTTATTTAAAATAGCGTGCAAAAATATTTTTTCACTTAATATTTTACTTTCTCTGTAATTTTACACAATATATAGTAACCAACTACATCTTAGCTTAAAATGTTAAATTACAGCTCCTCATGTCAAGTAAAAGGACACAGTGACCCAGTGGCTAAGACGCTGAGCTTGTCGTTCAGAAAGGTCGGCGGTTCGAATCCCTAGCGTTGCGTAACAGAGTGAGCTCCCATTACTTGTCCCAGCTTCTGCCAACCTAAGTAGTTCAAAAGCATATAAAAATGCAAGTAGAAAAAATAGGAACCAGCTTTGGTGGGAAGGGAACAGTTCTGTGTGCTTTCGGTGTTTAGTCGTGCCGGCCACATGACCACGGAGACAGCGCTGGCTCCTTGGCTTTGAAACAGATATGAGCACCTCCCCCTAGAGTCGGGAATGAAAAGCACATATGTGCGAGGGGAACCTTTCATTTATCTTTACCTATGTCAAGTAAGCCTAGAAATTGGTTTAATTCAGTAAAACATGATTAAGTGAACAGTTTTTAAATATCAAGTTTCATGATCAGAAAAATCCATTACCATCAAAAATAAATTTGACCTGATGTTACTTACTTTTAAATTTTTTAATACTTCTAAAAAATTAAAATACGCTAAATATATTCTTTCCACAGCTTGCATGTATCTTTTCCAAATCTCCAGTAACAATAGGAAATTATGCCCCCCCCTTTAAATTAAGACCATGTGCAACCCAGTGGGTTTTTAAATATCTGTCTCTATCTCAATCTCCCATTTTCATGAAAGCCTTCTCCCAGGGCCTTGCCTTCATAGAAAAGCGGAAGGGGGCGTGGGCTCCACCATCTGCATTCCTTGCATACCTCAAGTTGGTAGTAAGGGACTGTCAGCTGTAGAAATTCTTTTAAAGTGCATTGTGCCTTCAGCCCATAGGGTGTAACATAGAGGAAGACAGGAAGAATTACTCTTGCTTGAGTCATTCTATGTTTAAATCTGCTATTAAGACTAAACAAAGCTGCAGAAAGAGAAACCGGAACTGATTTTTCATATATTTATTGTAATTATATAGTATAGTATAGCACTATAGCTGTGATCACACATCCAAAGCACAAAAAAATCAACCACATTTTAGTCTAGGGAGTTTTGTGAATCCAAGTCTATCAGTTTATGTACAGTGAGTTGTGTAAATGTAAAAAATAGAATAATTGAGTAGACACTGTTTAACTAAG